ACTGGATTCTGAGGACTCCCGCAAACACCCACCGCTGCCTCCCGCCGCCCATTTACATACTTGATTTTCTCTCATCTCCCGTCTCCTTGGCAGGCCCTTTCTCGTCTCCCCAACGTCTAGGCACTGAGCCCTGTTGTTGGCTGAATTGTGTCCTTCAAAAAGATATGCTGAAAATGAATACCAGCCCTTTGCCTTCTGCTCTTTTTACCTGTAGTCACTCCCTCATTGATCTTATCTCTTCTCCTGGCTTTAAATACTCACCCACAGTCTGAAGAGTCCTAGATTCACATCCATGTTGTGGACCTCTCCCCTGAACTGACTCACATATCCTGCTTCTATTGGAATTCTAGCGGATATCTCAAACCTAACCTGCCCAGAGCCGACCACCTCATTCCTCTCCAGACCTGCTCTTCCCACAGTTTTCCAGGGGTCACTCTGTCCTTCCAGGTGTTTAGGCCAGAATCCTGGGCTCATTTTTGACTCCTCATTTCCTGTAACATCCCAAATATGAGCTATTAGCCAACATTGCTGTCTCTACTTCAGAGTTCATGGAGAGCCCTGCCCTTCCACACCATGGGCAGCATGGTCTCACTCTGGAGGTAATTTAAGTGATTGTTAATAGAACCAGCCTCTCTGGTTTCACATGTTTGCTCCCTTCAATCTACTTTCAACACAGCAGAGCGGATCAGGCTATAATGGAGTCAGGTCATCCGACTCCCTTCCTCAAAACCCTCAAGGATGGGGCTGGATGGTGGCGCTGCAGTAAATTTGAACACTGTGAGGCTGACCCACATGAGAAGGTTCCGGGTTTGTGTCTGGAGACCTGAATGTGCCAATGTGCTCATGATCTGGGGCTGGCTGAGGCTGGGGGTGGATCCTGGCACCAAGACTCTCCTAGGGATATCTACTATCCCTCTTGCACCTGCTCCAATGTGGACTGCACTGCCACTGCTTCTCTGGCTTGGGCACTCTGTCTTCCCTTGGGCCAGCCTGCTTTTCTTGCTGTTTTCTGGTCATGCGCTTTACCTCCTGCAGCCTCTGCTCTTGCTCCTCCCTGGGTTCCCTTTATATAAATAAACACAAATGACAAGATTATGGATTATATTATAGCACCCTCCCCTACTTCTGCCAGAGCTTTCCTCTTTTTTTTAAGGTCTTCTATCTACTGCATCTAAAGTGACTGCCTCCAAGCCTTTTTAGCTCTCTTCTCTGTGTCTTTCTCCTTAGATCTTTTCACTGTTCAACTTTCTAGTATTGTGCATGTTTTTCTAATTATCTGACTCTTGCACAAGAGAATAAGCCCTCAGAGGACAGGAATTTTGGCCCCTTTGTTCAGTGCTCAATCAAGAGCCTAGGGTAATGCCTGCCACAGGGTAGGCAGCCAGCATTGTTGGCATTCACATCTGTTGAGTGGCTGGCCAAATGATGAGGTTACTATTTAGTCTGCTTTTCTGTTGCTAACAACTTCAGACCACGTTGGATAATTTATGAGAATTATTAGGAATGAGGTTTCCTTAGCTCACAGTTTTGGAGGTTCAAGGTCTAGGGGCTGGATCTGATGCAGGTTGTCTTCTTTTTTTTTTCTTTCTTTTTTTCTTTTTAAAGGTTTTTGCCATAGGGCACATGCAGTCACCTGAGAAAGACAGTAAGAAGGAAAGTGAGAAATCACCCCCAGGGGAGATGGCCACACTGCAATCCCTTTTTCTCCATTCTCCTCCTGGGATTTTAGGCACGTACACATGTGCTCATTGTGATTTTCAAGCTGCTGGACCTAGGACTCGAACCATGGTTGGCCATGGGGAGTTCAGTCTCTTAACCACTACCCAACCTGCTCGCCCTGAGGATCTTCTTGCTGGGGGTTCTCTGCAGAGTCTTGAGGTAGTGCAGGACATTACATGGAGAGGGCAAGATGTTATGTGTGTGTTTGTGTGTGTGTGTATGTGTGTGCATGCATGTGCTTGGGTCTCTTCCTCTTTTTATAAAGCTAGCAGGAGTCAATTTTGGGGTCTCCACCCTGATGCCTATCTAATCCCGATAAGCGCCTAAAGGGCCCACCTTTCAACACCATAGTCAGACTAAGTTTTCACTGTCTTAATCTTGGCACAACCAAATTTCAACACATGAATTTTGGGGGGACACATTCAAACCATAGTGGTTGCCAAAATATTTCTGTCAAATTTATTATTTTTATAATAGCTTATGACTATTACATCACTTTTGTGTTTGTCTTATTTTCACTTTTAATTATGGCAGTTCTCAACATGAACAAGAATAGAATGAATTAGTGTAACAACAAATATCCCAAATGCCCATCCTCTGTATTTAACAGTTATTAACATTTTGCCTATTTGTTTATCTGTTTTGAGGGTAAATTATATATACCATGGCGGACATACATTTTTCAAAATTGTTTTCCTAAATTACCACAGTACTATGATCACACCTATTAAAACTGACAGTAACTTTTTGTGATCTAATACGTATTCAGATTATCCTAATTGTTTCAAAATGTCTTTTCCAGTTAGCTTATTCAGATCAGATCCAATAAAGAATCAACAGATGGTGTAATGGTTATGTCGCTGGACTCCCATGTGGTTGACTGCGGTCTGAGTCCTGGAACTGGTGACTTGAAACTCAGGCCAGGCATGTGTGCTTGTGTGCCTAGAATCCCAACAGAAGAATGGAGAAGGGATTGCCATGTGGCCATTCCTCCTGAGGGGGTGATTTCTCACTTTTTGTCTCTTTCTGTCTCCCCTGTGAGCAGGCAAAAATCTCTCTTAAGAAACAAAACAAAACAAGGGACCAGCAGTCAGCGTAATAACTATGTTGCTGGACTCCCATGCAGTCAACCGCAGTTTGAGTCCCAGACCTGGTGACTTAAACTCACGCTGGGCGCATGTGTGTGCGTGCCCAAGATCCCGAGAGGAGAATGGAGGAGAAGGGATTGATATGTGGCCATCCCCCCCACCCCCGGGGGGTGATTTCTCGCTTTCTCTCTCTCTGTCTCTGTCTTTCTGGTGAGCACATGCACCCTATAGCAAAAACCTCTCCAAAAACAAAACAAAACAAAACGAAAACTCTCATTGCATTTTATTGTCTTTTAAGTATCTTCTAACCTATAACTAGTCCCCCTTAAAGTCTCTCCTCAGTCCTGTCCCCGTTTCCATGACATTCACTCACTGAATTACAGGCTGCTCTGTTCTGTAAAATGTCTCACTTCCGGGGTTTCCTTGATTGCTTCCTTCTGAAGTAATTTCACTTGTTCCTATCTCTTCTGTGAAATGGAAGTGAATTTTAAAGGTTGCTTAATTGAATTTAGTTGAATTAAACTGAATCTTTGAAGCCATTTCTCTATAGCCACAGGGAGTTTTGGGACACACCTCTGATGTCCAGAGAGGGATGTGTCTCTTCTGTTTTTTGTTTTTTTTTGGAGAGGTTTTCGCCATGGGGCGTGTGTGCTCACCAGAAAGACAGAGAGAGAGAGACATAGAGACAGAAAGCGAGAAATCACCCCCCAGGGGGGATGGTCACGCCACAATCCCTTCTCCTCTGTTCTCCTCTCGGGATCCTGGGCACGCACGCACACGTGCCCGGCGTGAGTTTTAAGCCACCGGATCTGGGACGTGAACTGTGGTCGACTATGTGGGAGTCCAGCGACATAGCCATTACGCTAACTGCTGGTTCCCCTGTCTCTTCTGTTTTGAAAGGCTTAGTGTTTGTATGAGCGTGACATAACAGTTTGACGGAGACCACAGATTCTCCACTGTTTTGAGCAGGCCTCTGGGGATGGCGCCTCCTGACTCAGCTCATCATGGGCTATCCTGGAGGAAAGTCTTTTGGACTTTGGGGTCTGGGGTGGATGTTGCTGCCTCCTCGGTGTTCCAAGACTGTGATTTTGGGGGTAGCGTCAGGAGCTCTGTGTCTGACATGGCACTTCTAGGCTCTGCCTTCCTTCCCCTCTCTGGACACGCATTTGGGGCAGCTCGAGATGCCGCATTACTCTCCCTCTGTGGGAATGTGTTCCTCCCTTGTTGGTGACCAGTGTTCATCTTGTCTGGTCGTGTGAGACCTCTCCTGGGGATGGGGGCGAGTGCCCTGCATCTTAGTGCTTTGCGTTCGGTCACTTCTTTGACCTAGGTTTTTTTTTTTTTTTTCCAGATAGGATTATGAATTTCCCTGTGGGGTGATAATGTGAAGGTACACATTTTCTCTAAAATGCACAAGGGACTAGAGAATTACTTAAGAAGTGTAGAGGGGACTTGAGAGAGTCCAGGATGATCCATAGGATGGAAAGTATACTAAGGAGTTGTACTCATTTTCTTAGATCCTGGTTTCTGAACAGTTTATTTTCATAGTATAGTATATTTAGTATTTTGCATAGTGGTTTGGATATATTAGTATATCTAAATATGCTAATTGAGCTTTTAAAAAATTATTATTTATTCTTTTATGTTTGTTTGTTTTAATTTGCTATAGGGCACATGTGCTCACCATAGAGTGACAGAGACAGAGAGAGAGGAAAGGTGAGAAAGCAAGCTGCCAGGTCCAGGACTTGAACTGTGGTTGGCCATGTCGGAGTCCAGCGCCTTAACTACTATGCATCCTGCTGGCCCCAGCTAGTTGAGCTTCTTTTAAAAAGTGTATTTTTAAATTTATTGACCAGAAGAAGGGAGGAAATGAGTGAGGGAGGGAAGGGTACCTTCAACGAGGTCTTGCCATGCTGTAATTCCTGACCTGACCTCCAGGCTCTCCAGCCAGCCAGAGTCACGGGTGCCTGGAGTGTTCAGGTCACCGCAGGACCTGAACTTGGCGCCTCCTGTATGGCTCTGATACTGTGCAGGGCATGGTACTGCCTGTGCCACTGAGGCTGGGCCATAATCTAGCTTTTATTGTTCATGAATTAGGAAGTGCTTATATTACCCAAATAGCATTTTATGGACAAGCTACCATCATTAACATGATGCCAAATTATGGCCTTCTCATTTCTTCCTTTACGACAGGAGATTCGGGATCCTCTTATGCAGTGGCTTGGTACACACGTGGATCCTGAAGGAATAATAAAATCCAGCAAACTCTCTCTTAAGTTTGTTTCATCTTGTGCGCCTGAAGTAGAGATAACCCCGTCTTCTCTACCTGTGATTACTGACACAGAGGCCTTCTCATCAGAAAGTTTTAACTTGGAAATCTATCGACAAAATCTGCAGACCCGGCAACTTGGCAAAGTGATTCTGTTTGCTGAAGTGACTCCCACCACGATGAGTCTTCTGGACGGGTAAGTTCTGATTAGACCTCCCTCGTTTTCAGCTGCGTGGTGAACTCGGTTGTGCTGCGTATTCACTCTGCCAGTGGTCGAGGAGCGGGTGGAGTCACCACTAGCGAGGTGGAAGGGGTGCTTGGTGAATTAAAACGCAGGAAGAGAAGGTAAATACAGTTCTCGAATCACAGATGTGTATTTTACTTAATGGGAGGTTTATATGCCTCGTGTCTTGCGTCTCTTAGACCTTTTGGGATGTCCTTGGAAAAAAGGGCACTGTGGAAAAACATTATGTAACAGGTGGCATTATTGTTCAGGTTATTATCTTACTTTTGTGTTGTTATAATCAGTGTAAAGCATTTAGTTTAAGATGTTTTGCAGGGGCATTACAGTAGCAACTTTGAATGGCATGGGAGGTGTGTTAGATTGGATTAAGTTAGAGCTTTGTGCTTTGAAAACCTGGTTTGGTGTGCTCCTTTCCTGTACATTTGTTCGTTTGTTTGTTGAGAGATTTTTTGCTATAGGGCACGTGCACTTGCTGGAGAGACAGAGGGACAGAAAGTGAGAAATTAATGCCGCAGGGGGGATAGCCATGCCACAATCCCAACTCCTCCATTCTCCTTTTGGAATTTTGGACATGAACACACATGTGCCTGGTGTGTTTGGAAGGCAGTCGGCCATGTGGGAGTCCAGCGACATAACCATTATGCCATCTGCTGGTTCTCTTAAACATTTTTAAGGACTGTGTAATTCCATTTGGGTGCTTGAAATTTACTTCTATTGAGGTTTTCCCATCTTTTTCATGGACTTTATGAATAAAGGTTAAAAAGTAGAAGACAGATGAAATTTTTTCAACTCCCAGATTAGTTGGTATTACTTAATACTCTTTTATTATGTTGAGGATAGTGTATGGTTATAGAGTAGTACATCACAAAATCATCTTCTCTTGATGTGGGACCAGTGTTTTAGGAATGCAAGACTCTAAAATTAACCAGATGCACCGTGTTTAGGTATTTTCTCGTGTGGGACTCCAGGTTAGGTAGATGTATATTTCAATGTATGGGAATATTTTGGCTTTTCTTTTTAATAATAATTTCTGGAATTTGGTACTATGTTGATATAAAGTGTTGAGATAACTATAGCACTTCCTGGACTCTCATACTCAGGTCAGCAAATGACAGTTTTTGCACATGTATAGCACGGGAAAGAGCAAGCACTCCTGGAGAACTGGCAGAATGAGGAGGTGGAGAGGGGATGGGACTCTGAGGCATGTTAGAGTTAACAAGCTAACAGTCATGCTTCCCAAGTTACTTTCATTCCAGTGTTCTCTCCCTCCCTCCCTCTTCTGCCTCCACTCCCCACTCACTGTCATCCACCATTCCCCAGCCAAGAAGAAGCCTCTTGTAGATGCAACAGTCATGACTTGCTTGTTACAAAGTGTGATCATTGTTTCTTACTCAACTGAACTCTTTTTTTAAAAAAAACTTTGCTATAGGGCACATGTGCTCACTGGAGAAGAGAGACAAAGAGAAAGTGAGAAAATAAAGTACACCCCCTCCCCCCAAATTCCTGCCCAAGAGGGATGCTTGCACTGCAATCCCTTCTCCATTGTCTTCTCAGGGTTTGGGGCATGATGCACTCATGCCTGGTATGTTTTTCAAGCTGTTGCGTCCAGGGTTTAAGCACAAAGTCAGCCTCATGGGAGCCAGCAC